TCTCTCTCACTCACTCACTCTCTCTCTCACTCACTCTCTCACTCTCTCACTCACTCACCCACTCACTCTCTCACCTCTCACTCACTCTCTCACTCTCTCACTCACTCTCTCTCTCACTCACTCACTTACTCACTCACTCTCTCACTCACTCACTCTCTCTCACTCACTCACTCACTCACACTCTCTCACTCTCTCTCTCACTCTCTCTCTCACTCACTCTCTCACTCACTCTCTCACTCACTCACTCTCTTACTCTCTCACTCACTCACTCACTCACTCACTCACTCACTCACTCTCTCCCTCCCTCCCTCCTGCATGTCAAAGGCCAGCAGGCCACGGTATTCCTCAAATACGAGTCCTGACATGGACAACATCCATCCTAGTTAGCCTTCTGTTGCTGTATGAAACACCAGGACCAAAAGCAAGTTGGGAAGAAAGTGTTTATTTCTCTTTACATTTTACAGCCCATCATCAAGGGACATCAAGGACGGATGCTAGAGGAGAAACGGAAGCAGAGGACTGCTTCCTGGCTTGCTTCCTGGCTCATATTCAGTTACCTTTCTTGTACGATCCAAGACCACATGTCCAGAAGTGGCACTACCCACAGTGGGCTTGGCCCTCTTCTGCCCACTAGCAATCAAGAAAACGCCCCACAGACACACCAATCTAATGGAGACAATCCCTCGACTAAGGTCCCTTCTTTTCGGGCGTCTCTGACTTGTGCCAAGTTGACAGAAACTAACCAGCACACCATCTCTAGGAAGATGTCCATCACTCCCATACACTTCCTCATTAGTGTCACTGGTCTCAGTTTGGATCAAGGACCATGTGTTCTGCCTGCTTTTCACCAGTCTCTTCTACTTCCTTCTCCAGAGGAAGTTTTCTACCAAAGAAAGTTTGTCAGAAGAGAGCCTTTTAGGGAGTTTTACTTTGTACTAGATAATTACATAGCTCCATATGGTAGATCATATGCTGGCATATTTAACGTAGACTCGAGGTCTCCGTGTTTGACAATCAGACCTGGACAAGAAGTAATGACTGAGGTTTGATTAAGAGGACATGGTCTAGGGAACACACATTGCTTCAGTCAGCTGTGTGTCCATCCACATAACGAGATCTTCTTGTTGGGTGAAAACAGCAGAGCCCTGACTTAACAGCCCTTAATGATGTCTGCTGGGTCCAGTACTGCTTCCTGGTCTCCTTCTGCCAATTTTTCCTACTTTTTGTCAATTTGTGTGTCCTAGTTTGATTTCTATGGCTGTGATAAAACAACATGACCAAAAACAACTTTGGGAGGAAGGAGTTTATTTCAACTTACAGTCTGTAGTTCATCATGAAAAGATGTCAGGGAAGGAACTCAAGGCAGGCAGGAACTTGATGGCAGGAACTGAAGCATAGATCATGGAGGAACTTACTGGCTTGCTCTTCCAGGCTTACTCAGATTGCTTCTTAGACAACCCAGTGCCCAGGGATGGCACTGCTCAAAGTGTGCTGGGCCCTTCCACATCAATCATCAACCAAGAAAATTCCCCTCAGGCCAACCTACAGGCCAATCTGATAGAGGCATTTTCTTAGTTGAGGCTCTCTCTTCTCAGCTGAGTCTAGCTTGTGTTAAGTTGACAAAGATTCCCAATCAACAAAATCTTCTAGAAACTTCTCTCAGTCTTCCTTCTATTGTAGCCTTTACATCTGTCTCTAAGTGGAATCGATACTCTCCATGGCTCTGGGACTCCATGCCCACAGACTGAATTTCTGGAACCCTTCCCCATGCTTTCTGAGAATCCAAATTTGGATTCCACTCCCTCTGTGGCTGGGCCCATCTGCTACAGTTCCTTATTACTGCCATTGTCCTCACATTTGTCACAAGTCACATTCTTTTGCAAAGCCAATCTTGTCCCATCCTCGTGTAAGTCCAAGATTATTGAAGTTCACAAGCAACATGTTTACCTCTCTTTTCTCTCTGCATCCTCCCTCTACGTCCTCCAGAAAACATCAAAGATGTCCACAAGGGAACCCCTGGTGCCACCTCCTCTCCTAAATTACCCGTCTGTCTCCCTTGTTACACAATTCTCTTGGTATCAGAAACAACACTTTGGCTTGGAGTCCTTTTCAATTCTTCTTTGGTAGGGTTTGGGCTTGACTTCCCAAACATCATAGTAAGTCGTTTCTCTCACCATGTTCTACAGCCTGTGAGTAGACTAGGCAGGATAAGGGAATGTAGTAGTGTGCAGCGTAAGCAGCCACTATCCTCTGCCTCTCACTGAATATTCTAGAAGGTTCCGTGTGAGCTCATTCTGATAACATTTGGCATAGGCTGAGCTGCCTGCTCCATTGAGCTGTGCCCAATAGTCGTGTCCCTCCTGTTGGTTGCATGAGTCATTGAGAGTCCATAGATAGCAAAGCTTATCCTCTGGAATTTGTCCCTGATGTTCTAGGGAAGGATGCTGATATTGCAAAACCAA